CCAGGGCTGGAGTGCAGTGGCACCTTCTCAGGTTACATACATATTGACCCCTCCTGTATGTCTTTTTTTTTTTTTTTTTTTTTTTTTTGAGATGGAGTCTGGCTCTGTCGCCCAGGCTGGAGTGCAGTGGCCGGATCTCAGCTCACTGCAAGCTCCGCCTCCCGGGTTTACGCCATTCTCCTGCCTCAGCCTCCCTAGTAGCTGGGACTACAGGCGCCCGCCACCTCGCCCGGCTAGTTTTTTTGTATTTTTTTAGTAGAGACGGGGTTTCACCGTGTTTGCCAGGATGGTCTCGATCTCCTGACCTCGTGATCCGCCCGTCTCGGCCTCCCAAAGTGCTGGGATTACAGGCTTGAGCCACCGCGCCCGGCCTCCTGTATGTCTTAACCAAAAGATGTGGAAAACATAAACTAAAAAAAAAAAACTTCAATTTGTGTATTGAGTCCACCTGTCATCATATCCCCACAGGAACTCTGGATACAATTGACAGTGGGGACGGGGCATGATAAGTAATTAAGACTGAATGCTACATATTATCCCAGATAATTCAGAAAATGTCTTGTTAGCTCTGCAAAACATGAACCATCAAATCAAAACTATATCTGACCCCACATTATAGCTAGCTCAATAGTTAGCATCCTGGTTCAGGTCAGAACCGTTCTGGCGTCTAAAGCTCCTTATAACTTTGGCCCTGGTTGCAGGGATAGGCATATTTCTTTGCTGTGGATTTTACTGCTGTTGCACCTTCTGTATGGAAATGCAAGACAGGTTTTCCCAAGAGACTTTCCTGGCCTCGCACCATAATGCTCCAGCAAACATTGTCTGTGAACCCCAGTATTTGTGAATATTTCCAACTCCAATGGATCAGTTCCATTCTGATACCCTATAACTCCTCCCACTTTCAGCAGTAAGTAGCCAGAATAAAAACAATGCCCAAATGCCATGAAAATGGAATAGAATTTGACAGTGGGGAGTCGTAACCAAGTACCTCATTTTCTTTAAAAGAATTATTTTTACCTTTTTTTCTTTTTCCCTCACCTCTTACTTTGCTCTTTAGGAATACAATTATAAACTTTACCTTCTTTCCAACAGGCACTCCCTGTGAAGCAGGAGAATAGGGGCTGGAGGCAGGAAACCTAAAGCTGTTTCACGCTGACTTCCTAGAACTAAATTGAAAGGAAAACCCTAACTTTCCACACCTAAGTAACAAAAGGACCAAAGGCTACTGCCTTTGCAAACCCCCACCCTTCCTTCATGGCAGATGGGAAATTGAAAGTACCTCTGATTGGTTGATTTTGGCAACCAATCAGAATTTTGTATAGGAGTGTAACTTTATAACTTTAGTTCAGCTCAATCTGATTGATTGCCAGACAGGTCTTCGTTTGCATAGAAGTACAACTTTGTGACTTCACTTTAGCCTCTGATTGGTTGCTTTCTGCAACCACCAGATGTTTGCATAGGAATGTGACCTTTGTAAGTTCACTTCAGCCTCTGATTGGTTGCTTTCCACAACCATTCAGACTGATTGCAGGCCACCACTTTATTTACATGAGGTGAGCACCAACTGGCCAATGGGAAACCTCTAGTGGGTATTTGGACCCAGGAAGATTCTGTATCTGGGCCCTTGAGCCACTGCTCAGGCCTGCTGCCACCCTGTGGAGTGTACTTTTGATTTCAGTAAATCTCTGCTTTTGTTGCTTCACTCCTTCCTTGCTTTTCTTTGTGCATTTTGTCCAATTCTTTGTTCAAAACGCCAAGAACCTGGACACCCTCCACCAGTAACACCTAGACTGAAAGCTTATCTAAATATATGTTTGCTTAGAAGTGTCAGGGACCAAATCTCAAAACAAAACAGGCACTCTCTGGAATTCCCCACCAGGAGATTGTCTCAAGACAATTAATTCACAATCCAATTGCATCCATGATGGTGCAGACCAGACCATTACATGGCATCACTCAATATAAGTCATCCAAGTGAGTTACGTAGACCCCGCAACTCCTCGCCCCTCCTCCATGCCATTCACACCAACTTTCCCTTTTTAAGCCCTTGCTTTCTGCCCTGAAAGTTAAAGCAGTTCCCTTAAGGCAGGAGCCTGTTGTTTCCCCACTGCTAAGCTCTGGAATAAAAGTCACTTTCTTTTTACCACCCTCGTCCTTGTTATTCAATTTTGCAAGCAATGAGCAGCTGAGCTTGCATTTGGTTACAGTAAGAGGAGGAAGGAGGAGAGAAACCAATGGGAAGAGAGAAGTCTTAGAGACACCAGTTTGGGGAGATCATAAGTTTCCCAAAAAGACCAGTGAAGTTCCAAATTATCCTCAGCAAAATCACGTCAACAAGAAGGAGTTGGACAGTGTAGGTGAAGCATATAGTCAGTAGGAATTCAAGAATGGTGTTTCAGTTGACTCAGAAGTTCCCATGGGAAAAACAGGATCAAATAGAACAGAGAGACCTCACAAAATAATAAGGAAAAAAATTTCCAGCTTGGGCAACATAGTGAGACCCTGTCTCTACAAAAAAAAAAAAAAATTAAAATTAGCCAGGCATGGTGGCGTGTGCCTGTACTCCTAGCTACTCAGGGGTGCTGAGGTGGGAGGATTGCGTAAGCCTGGGAGGTTAAGGCTGCAGTGAGCCATGATCACACCACTGCGCTCCAGCCTGGCCAACAGAGGAAGACCCTGTCTCAAAAAAAAAAAAAAAAAAAAAAAAATTCCAGCCCAAAGAATCAATGAATAATTCCCACTCAAAATAGAAAGCCAGAAAGAAAAACTTCCAGCCCAGGGAGCCAGAGTAATCCCCACTCAAGACAGAGATCCAGGAAGGAGAACGTCCAGCCTAGGAGACACCTTTCAAAAGAAGCCTGGTACTCTAACCTGCTTCAGAGAGTATACTCAGAATCTTAAGAATCAAATCAGTCCTTACCAGCTTTAACAGAAGTTTGCCTGGAACAATGGTTCAAAAGTCTGACTTAGCAGTGGATCCCAAATCCATCAGTCAGGAGTGAAGGAAAGGGCTTAAAAGGTGCACGTTTGAGGTCCGCAGTGATAGGTCCAGGAGTCCAATGATGAATCTGATCCTATAAAAGTCACAGCATCATTACTGTTCAACTTTTTTTTTTAAACGGCACGTGTTAAAGATGGTGAGAAAGACTGTGTTCAAGGGGGAAATATCAAGATAAGTATAGGAACCACTGCAATGGCATCTTACAATGGGGGAGATAGATTGAGATCAGCTAAAATAGTGTAAGCAAGTGGGAATTTAGAGCCAAGGAACAAGGTGGGAGTCAATGGACAGAAATTTACTAAGAGGAAACATCAGGCATAATGGAAGATTTGGGCTAAACCAACCTAACAGAATTTTTACTGAAGGCAGCCCAGGGTGATCAAACATCACCTGGGACATGATGGAGGATGAGGAACCAGATAAGATATTGAGAGTGGTTGGATACGGGGAATGACTAAATAGACTTAGCAGGACTTAGCAATTTCCTTGCTGAAACTGGACAATGCAGAGACAAACTCAGAAATCCAAAAATCCAGGCCTAGTTGAAAAAGAGCTCAAGGGAATCTGAGTAGAATTTGGTCAATAAGAGAATCTCTGTCAGCACTAGAATTCTGGGATGAAAAAAACAGAGGTCCTTCCTTCCAGGAGCTCAGTGTAGTGGGGAATAAAAACATGCTCTCTAATCCCAGATGCTTGGGAGGCTGAGGTGAGAAGATCGCTTGAGGCCAGGAGTTCCAGACCAGCTTGGGCAAGGTAGCGAGACCTCATCACTAAAAAATATACATTTTTATTACATAATATATTAACATATATAATATATAACATATATATTACATATATTTCTCTCTAATGATAACATAAGACAAGGAAATTCCAGTGAGTATGAGGTGTTTGGCCATGTGTGCTCCAGCAGGAGGTGAAAGGTAGAGGAAGGAGACCAGGGCACCTTGTGAAGGGACGTGATGAAGAGTAAGAATGTAAGGGGGTAGGTAGGATATATAAGGGATCCATCAGCTAGCTGGATTGAACGGGTGAAAACGCAAGGCAGGCAGAGAGGAAATGTGAATAGTCAGAAGATGTCAGGGACTCTGCAGGCAGGTGAGCTCACTCACTTCTCCTCCCTCTCTTTGTTGAGAAGGCTAGGCCACAGCTTGTCACACCCATAGGGGTGTGGGTAGCTGCTATAATTGGCAGACCAGAAGGCAGAAACTAATGGGATGCCATGTAGGGCAGAGGGCCACCCTGGAAAGCAAGACCACTAGTGTGAGCAGTAGGACTGGTTTCAAGAGCCTTGGCGGAGGCCATCTGGCTGATGGCTAAGGCCATTCCAGTCCCTAGGCCATGGGCAAGATTGAAAGTGAAAGCAGCTGTCCTGCAGGGAGTGCGCAGATTTGCTGGGCTCGGGGCTCTTCCACCAACTTTGACATTTCCTCCAGAGCCCAAGGCCTCCCAGATACCTCACTGCTGCTGTGGGATAAGGGGATAAATAAAAAAGCCAGTAGGGCAACTGGGTCCCTGCCTCCGTTCAGTTCCACATGACATTCAAGTCTAAGCTAAACAGGAGACCTTGTCCTTTCTCTGCCTCATTCCGAAATGACCCAAGGGAAGTCTTACCAAAACACCAAGGCTACAGTCAGTTCTGCTGCTCACTGCACAGAAAGCCAATCACTGAGACAGTGAGTACTGCCAAGGAAGAAGGCTATAATCAGATGCTGCAGCTGAGTTGGAAGCTCAGTCTCAAATCCATCCCCCGGACCAACTAAAACTAGGGGTTTAATAGCAGGGAAGAAATTTAACAATGTGTAAGAAAACAGGAACTAGGGAGGGGCAAGGAAGCAATCAAGATGAAAGAGGGGTCTAGCATTTCACTGTCTGGATGTGGTGATCTGGTGAGTTTCAGTTCTTTGATCCCTTTTTTTTTTTTTTTTTTGAAAGGCCTGAAGATTGCTTCCTGAGGAAGGAACTCAGATAAAACAAATGTAAGGTTCAAACTTGAAGACCAGAAGGGTTCATTTCTATTTTTATCAAAAGAACAGTCCATGGCAGGGCTCCCCAACCCCTGGGCCACAGAGCAGTACTGGTCTGTGGCCTGTTAGTAAATGGGCTGAGCAGCAGGTGGTGAATAGCAGGCGAACAAACATTACTGCCTGAGCTCTGCCTCCTGTCGGATCAGTGGTGGCATTTTATTGTCATAGGAGTGCGAACCCTACTGTAAACCGCACATGTGAGGGATCTAGGTTGCACGCTCCTTATGAGAATCTAACTAATGCCTGACCATATGAGGTGGAACAGTTTCATCTCGAAACCATTGCCCCGCCCACCAAGTCCATGGAAAAATTGTCTTCCACGAAACCAGTCCCTGGTGCCAATAAGGCTGGGGACCACTGGTCTATAGAACTGTCGGGTCAGTTTCAGAAGGACCACCGGCCACAAGACATATTTCACTGAGCAGCTGTTTCAACAATACAGTCAGTTCAGTCTGTGTTTCATGTGTGTTTATATCAGGTATTATATAGAGCACACTGTCATATATATCTGTATATAGATAATACATATATATGAGTGTATATAATATATGCATCTGTATAATTATAGAGATGGCTCAAATCAAAGTACCTAATGTTTTCCTTAATCTCTCCTAAGTGGAAAGAAAAATATAAACGGGATGAATGGATGGGGAAAAAAGGACAAAGTATTCAAAGCATTTCCTACGAAAATGACAATATGTTTATATGAGAGTTGCAATAAAAATACGGAGCGCTGAGTCAAACCACTGATAAACAACAAATATTTTTGGATAACTGTGTCTCATGCAATATTTGGGACATACTCTATACAAAAATATTTGTTGTTTATTTGAAACTCAAATACGAGTGTCCTGCAGTTTACCTGACAATGCAAGATTATTTCCTATACTTCAACATCAACAAGATTTGATTGCATTTAAATGTTTCTGTCCATTTGTTCTTCTATGTAATACTTTTAAAATAATTGGCATAAAAATTCAATCAATTCATAGAAGTCCAAAGCAAAAAAAAAAAAAACAAATCTACTGAAATCTCATGAGGAAGAAAGGATCAGGATTGACATTAATGAACCCTCTCACAGAGACCACTCCACACACAAAAACAAAGAAGGATGGGTGAATGGATGCAGAGAGAATTTAATAAGACTGAAATGATGCCATACATGCTTTTAAAAAATAAAAGTATTAAATTTTAAATTTTACTTCAATATAAGAGAAGAAAAAGAACAAAACGGAGATTGAAAGAACTGCTGAACTTCAGGAAGTTTTACTTGATCACAAATAGATACTAGTTTTATAAAATTCCCTTTTTCTTCTCAAGGGTGCCCTGCCCTTCCAGCCTGGTACCTTGCCCCTTGAGGCATAATATTTCTGAAAACTGTCCAAAGGACCTGCATATTGTTAAGAAGAGCTGCAAAATGTACCAGAGAGAAAGATCAGGTGAGCTGGTGCCTGATTCATTACTGTGAGGTCTCCTCTCTCGGACACTTGTGAAGTCTTAGTCATCAGTGCCCTGAACCTTAAGATCAGAACCAAATAAAGAGAATAAAAGATAAAGTTAGAGAAACTTCAGGCAGGGATGGAAGGCAGAGAGCAAAGCATGTATGGGCACGGGACTTATAATAAGGAACAGCAGGACAGCACAATGGCATTCTTGGATTGTCGGCTTTAGAAATGCTGTCAATTATATTCTACTGCTCCAGAGAATGAAAATTGCTTAAAATTGGCTTCTTAGGCAGAGTTTACAAACTAGCAGCTCCAGCCTGAGTCTGTTCTGCAGACCTGATTTAGATGGCCCCCATACTTTTCAATAAAACATATTTCAGTTAGTTACCAACATTTAAAGAACTGAAGGTTTCATATCAACATTTTAATTTGGGGCTAATCTTGAAAAACTGAAAAATCTGGCAGTCCTGGCCCAACATTGCCAGCCAGCAACACTAAGCTGGAGCTGAATACTGGCTGCCCCTTTGGAAGACACATATTCTTTCCCAGTTTGCCACAGTCCCTACTCTGCTTGCTTCTTTCTTTTATGTTACCTGTCTGGCCTTGTCAACATTTGAATTTACAACTCTGATTATTACAATTTTTCTATTATACAAACTGTCAGACATATATAAAAGCAGAGAGAATGGTAAAGATGAACCCTATTTGTACCCATTACCCAGTTTCAACAATTATTCATAGAAAACCTTGTTTCATGAATACCCTAACCAATTCTCAAACACACTGGGATCTCCCCCTGGATTTTTGTGATGCACATCTAGACATCACATCATTTCACCAGTAAATATTTCAGTGTGTATCTCCAAAAGAACCAAATGTATGACTTCTAACCAGGCTTCTTCTGTTGTGCCACATATGCCATGAGTTATACTGTAGTGAGAGGATATATTACAGAGTAATAGTAATAAATATTTCTGAGGTCTTACTCTGTGACTAGGTATTGTGCTAGGTATTTACATATATTGTCATTTATTCCTCTCAATTCTATGGCATAGACAATGCTTTTATTCCCATCTTATAGATAATCTTCACATAGATGTCCTCTCTAACATATATACACGTGTGTGTGTATATATATATACACACACACATATATGCAAATACATACACTGCATATTGTTTATATTTATATACAATATAACATATTGTATATACTTCATACTGATACTATTCACATATATATTTAATTGTATTAATATATAAACTAGAAAAGTAGTCTGGTTCTATTTTCTTTGGTCTTTTTTGAAATCATGTCAACTCTGATAATGGGAAATTTCCATAAGCTGAGGTTTACTTATCCCATTTTCTATTCACAAAAACTCAAAGTATGAACTTATTTCCCAAACCTGGAAAAGGCAACAAAATCACACAAACTTCAGAATATCTGGGGCAATGGTATCTACATCTTGAAGCAGGTTTTAGAATGGCTGCCCTGCCAAATAAGTTTTTTCAGGTATAGTGACCTGCACACTGGTTTCAGTCATGCTCATGCATCTTACAAGTTCCTTTCTGGAAGGAGAAAACCACAAATGTTCAGTATTTAGAGTTGTGGATGAAACAAAATTTATGTTGTTCATTTCAAGCTTGCTTTTAAATACTTATCCCCCAACACCTCTCCCCAAGTACACTATTTTGTAATATCCAGATTAAGGCTGTCTTTAGGAATGATTTTCCCCCATACTGAATGTAAGGGGACACAAAAAAGTTCAGGATTCCAGAAAAATAACACTTTTTGCACTACTCTGAAAAATCAAAAATATTATGAGCAAATTATCAAATATTTAAATAAAAGCAGAATTTGCCCATCCACTTGCACGACCATGCCTTACTCTCCTCACCCTGATCATGGTTCTGGTTCCAATCAAATTCTACTTATACAAACCTAGTTATCAAGCCAAAGTTTCCCCACTTGATTCATTTAAATGTTGCTTGAAAATATTTACCTTGATGTCCAGGAGGCATTGCCTCCACCCTGAAGTCCAAGGGCAAACAGGCCCCAGCAGCCTTGAAACCCCTAGGTAGCCTTTGGCTCAGAAAGGTTTGGAAGGGGCCTGGGGAAAGAGAATAAGCCCTAAGCCCAGCCCCTGCTCCGTGAAAAGTGGGTGCCGCCTGAGCATGCCACTTACCTAACACGTCCGGGTATGGAACGAGTTGGAAAATGTTCTTCAGCTCGTGTAGTTGCACCAATGTGAAAGTGATGAGCCAGAGGAGCTGCTGAGTGTCCTCAGGCTTTCTGAGTTCGTGGCCACTGCCACTGTCGAGTTTCTCTTTGTCCATGGGGCCAGGGCCTGCCGAACTACCGCGGCATTCTGCTGCTGCTGGTGTGGCTGCTCCTTGTTTACATTTGGACGGTATTTTGCCCTTCTCGTTTTCGCCTGATACAGTCACTGAGATCACGGAAGGAATCGCATCTGGAAAGGCGGAAAGGCAAAGAGAAAGATCAGAACACTGGAGGCCTGGGTTTGCGGGCTGGAGGAGGTTAGGGGCAGCAAACTGAAAGCTGCACAAAGATAATCAGCTGTTGCAGGAAAAGGTAGTTTGCCCGAGTACACTGGAGCACCTGTCACCATCCAGGCACTAACCATTAAGTTCTTCCCGGTCCTCGATTCCCCGGGTGCGATATCGGTGCCATCTTGGCTTCTCCTGGGCTGAAGGTTCAGTCCCTGCTGTCGATGAAACGGTGCGCCTCCACAGGCTCTGGGCTGCGACCTGCGGTAATCCCCGGTAGGGACAAGAAGTGCAACGCCTCTTGAGAAAAGTCCAAGTACTCCAAAATTTTAGCAATGACTCCACCACCTCAGAGTGCAAGTGTAGACCGCAGCCTAGTGCTTAGTGCATCCAAGAATGTTAATGTTTACACTGCATGGGCTCTGGCCGCGACAGTGGCACATTGCATCCTCTGCTGTGCTCCACCTCCGGGCTTCTGGTTACAGGTACTCTACACAAGCTTAAGTGACCCCTGTGTTGGGCTCCTGCTGTGGGCCTGGCAAGTTTCCACCTTTTCCCTGCCTCCTCCTCCTTCTACATTTTCTCCCATTTTCTAGAAATAAAATCGTAATCTTGTGCTCAGAAATAAATAAAACTTTATTGTTAAATAAAAGAGGCAGGCCAAAATGAGGACTTTATGGTTCTCCCTTCAAGATGTGTTTTGCAGACGCTCCAGAAGATGTTAATATCCTGAGCATTGGAAATAGCTTCCAATAATAGGCCCTATGCTTGGTATCGTACTATGATACTGGTCTATCCTATTTTTCCCTTTGCAACTATCATTATCTTCAGCACCATTTTATGAAAGAAATTAAACCATTTTCATGGGCCGCTAAGGGTGTCTGTCATGGGGCTTAGGTACCTTACCTACTGTATCTAATGGATAAGTGCCGCTGCCTCATATTTCTGCAAGATGGCTAAGAAATCAGCTAAAAAAAAAAAAAAGGTGATTAAACAATTCACTTTCAAAAAGATGTCAAGGGATGGCAATCTCACAGCCGCTCTCTGACTTCAACCAAAATGTTGCCTCCTCCATCTGACTTTTGTTGGAGTCTGCACCCCTCTCCTTCTCTTGCCTAATCAGTTCATGATCAATTTTCAGCCTTGGATCAAATGCTGCATGAGAGACATGTAAGAGTTTTAATCATGGGGTACAGTAGACTAGCTGGGACATCTGTGACAGCTCGATGTTCTTCCACATCTCAGATTTCCACAGTGTACCCCAGTGTTTTCTCACCTTCAGTCACTCATAGGCACCTTAGGTGAGTGTTGTTGCCCTATGTGGGCACCAGAAAAGCTAGTGTTTACTTAAATGTTTTATTTTAAATATAATTTAGTTTTTAATTTTTGATTCACTCTTGAAAACCTTAGGTACCCAACGGAACCCTCGTCCTAAGCAAAAATAGCCACAAATCACGGCCTGATGTAACAGATTTATGTGAGCAGCGACCCTAGAACCAGACTGGGTATCTGAATCATGGCTTCACTCACCACCTGCTAGCTGGCTAATCTGGTGAGCAGTTTATTCTCATTTTGCCTTGGTTTAATAATTTTTTAAATGGAGATAACAGTCATCCCTAAATCATAGAGGTGTTTTGAGGATTAATTGAGGTGCTTAATTATACAATTTCACAAATGACCAGACCATGTAGCCTCACATTTCCTACTTGACTCACTTTCATATTTTTTTATTCACAAGGAAAAGAAAGAGAGTGATTGTTATCCTCCAGGAGCATGTAATGAAGATAGAGCATCTTCTTGTGAAAACAATACATGTACTGCGTTTCTATGTACCTATATGTGCTTCCGTCAGTAAGCCTATGTTGGCTGCTGCATGTATGAGCCCTGGGCCAGGAAATGTGCCAGAAGACTGTGTCTTTCACTCAGCAGATCGATTTTCTTTCTTGGCCTAATATATTTTATTCTTAGATACCAGATAATGTAATAAACATTACCATGTATTAAGTACCTACTCTGGACCCAACCCAAGAACAAGCCTTATGAAAGTGATATAAGCAGGGGCACGATGGTGTAATTCACATTTTCATCATCAGATCACTCTGACTGCTGGGTGGAGAATGTTTATAGGAGAAAAAAGGTGAAAGCAGGGAGACAGGACATTAATGCATTACCCCGGTTTAAGACGATAGCGATTATCTTAGGCATGTCAGAGAAAAAAATTAAAGGTTTCGGAATGTGTTTCTGAGGTGGGGTCAACAGGATTTCCTGATAAATTGACTATTTGGAGTTGAAGAAAAAGAATAAACAGTCTATAGGTAACCAAGTACATCTTTTTTAAAGACTCAAATGAATTATTTTTTCCTTTTTCCTTTCCTCACACCTCCTACTTAGCTCTTTGGGAATGCAATTATAACCTTTACCTTCTCTCCACCAGACACTCCCTACACAGCAAGCTTATCTAACTACGTGTTTACTTAGAAGTTACAGAGACTGAACCTTAAAGCAAACCAGGAACCTCCAGAACTCTCTCCTACCAGGAGGCAAATTGAGATTGCCTCAATTTACAACCTAGCTCTGCCCATGACGGTGCCAGCCAGACCACCTGATAGATAAGACATCTGAAGCAAGTCACATAGACTCCGCACTCCATCGCCCTCTCCCCTGCATGTTGTTCATGCCAAGCCCCCTTTCAAAGCTCCTGCCTTCTGCCCCAAAGGCTGTAGTGGCTTCCTTAAGGCAGCCTGTACTACTTCCCCTCAGCTAGCTCTGGAATAAAGCCACTTTCTTTTACCAGACGTCATTCTTGTTCATTGGACTTTGCAAGTGGCGAGCAGTCAGAGCTGTGTTCAGTTACACGTATGCTTTGCCTCATTGAACTCTCATGAAAACCCTATGATCGAGACACTGTTGTTAACTCCATTTTATAGGTGAAGAAGCTAAGAACCAGATAGATTCATCCAGTGTCCCAGGACACACAGTGAGTCATGCTTCGGATCTGTGCTCCTAGCTGATGCCTCCCATTACTGGTAGTCCTTTCCTGCTCCCTACAATGTACATTTCTTCATTTCTTTTTCAATTTTCTTATTATCTATTTTTCTTCTTCTTCCTCTCTCTTTTTCACTAGGGATAGAATGCAAGGATCTCACTTAGCCCAGTGGATGGCAGTCAATTAATGGGGCGAGTGGCTTAGTCCTGCCATACTGGTTCCCTGCATGCTGCCAAGTGCAAGGGCCCTTCCATGCTCAGAATCACCATGAAGACCAGAGCTCTCTCTCTCGGTAGGCTACAGACTCAACGGGTCTGAATCTTTATATATGCTGCCAAAAAACCCTCAAATAACCGATATTTGTAAATAGATACAGAAAGTTTTTAAAAGAACATTTAAAAATAATAAAAAATTTTTAAATATTTTTAAAAAACAAAATAAAGTATATACCATCACTTAACAGCACACACACAATCTCTAGAAAAATTAAGGATTCATGAGTTGTTCACCCTCAGAAAACGTCTCCATGCCCTTCCTCGTGACAGACTCTCTAGCATTTTTTTCTTTCATTTTCATTTTATTTCTTATTTTATTATTTATTTTAGAGAAAAGGGGCCTCTATCTGTTGCCCAGGCTGGAGTGCCGCCACATGATTCTAGCTTACCGCAGCCTCAAACTCCTGGGTTCAAGTGATCCTCCCATCTCAGCCTCCTGAATAGCTGGGACTAGTGCAGGAGCCACTGCACCAGGCTCTTCAGGGTTTTTCTTCGTGATTGGGCTTATTGGGGTGGGGTGGCCAAAACACAGGGGCAGTAGTAGGGAGGCTGTGTAGTTATGAGGCTCTGCAGAGCAGAAGGGGCCCCACATCCAGTAAGCTGCACATCCATAGATCCCAAATCTCCATCCCAAGAGTGGAGATTTTTGGCAGGTATGCCCTTACTAGGATTCTTCCTATACCATCCCCGATTTTTATGTATTTATTTATTTATTTATTGCTTGTCCTAATAGCACTCCATTTTGCCATGAGTACAGGTTTCTCTTGCACAGCCAAAGATATTCAGTCTCAGACTAACAGATTCAGCCTCGTGTTGATTCTGTGTTGACTTTCTCAAAGGGTGCATCGGATTTCTTACAGAGCACATCTTACCACCCAGAATGCTCTGCATGCCTATCTCCAAGATCCCAATCCCAGCACTGAAGAGAGCATGGCAGCTCTGCTTTCAGTGCCTTTGCTGGAACTCTGAACAAGCAGCCCCCTAGCCAATCGTTTCAGCTTAATTACTAGCCCGTGCCCCGTGTAGGCTGCCAAATATGGAGGGTCAGGCCATGAGATATTCTCCAAACTTGCTCAAGCAGTCCTATGATCACTGTGAGATCTCACCTCCCCCTTGAGCCCCCAAATCAGCTTTCCTCGGGGTAATAACTAGGCCCGAGTAGGGTGTAGTCAGCGAAGCTGCAAGCTGGGGCCCCATGTTGCATACATATATGCCTCCTGTTGGCCCTTCTCCACACTGCTCCTATGTTTTGGCCACCCCATTCCACCCTCAACCGCCACCCCCACCCACGACCCATACCACACTCCTCACCCCACCCACAACCCCTACCCCCATCACACACCCCCCACCCACAGCCCCCACCCTCCACCCACACCCCCATTTCCACCCACAACCCCCACCCCCACCACGTACCCCCACCCGCAACCCCCACCCTCACTGTGCACCCCCCACCCTTCACCCATACCCCATCCCCACCTGCAACCCCCACCCTCATTGTGCACCCCCACCCAGCTTCCCACCCCCAACCACACCCCAACCCCACTTGCAACCCCCACCCTCACCGTGCACACCCCCACCCCCCACTTGCACCCCTCTACCCCACCCGCACCCCTCTCCCCCACCCACACCCCACACCCACACTCACACCTCCCACTACCACCTGCAACCCCCCACTCCCCACCCCCACCCGCACCCCCACCTTCCCATCCCCCCACTCCTCTCCATTCCCTCTCTTGCTTGTGCGCATAAGCAAGTCCCCCTGATTGCAACTGTAACCAATACCAAGCATGAGAACAGGAACTAGCTCCACCCTCTGACCCCCCGCTCCAGCTGCAGACGCCACGGGGTTTGTGTAAGGGGCGCAGCACTCCAGCCATGGCACGTTCGCTCGTCCATGACACCAAGTTCTTGTGCCTGAATGTATACCAGATAAAAATAAGCCCCACACCTGAGCTGGGGGCAGCATCAAGGGTAGAAAGCCATGTTGGCCAAGGAGCTCCAGGCCTCATAGGTAATATGAACCCTGAGGGCGGCGTGAACCACGAGAATTGCATGAACCGCTATGGCGGCATGATCCACGAGGTCGGCGGTGGAAACCAGGGGCCTAGGCAGCTGCAGCAGCCCCTGGAGGAGCCGGCCCAGGCGGCCATGGAGGATCCGCAGCCCGAGAACATGCAGCCACGAATTCGGCGCAAGAAGTTCACGCCGTTCCAGGTACAGGAGCTGGAAAGTGTTTTCCAACGCACTCAATACCCTGATGTGCCCACAAGGTAAGTGTCCTGCTCCAGGAGCCGCGAGATCCAAGTTCGTTTCGAGGCATCTTTTTCTCTCCCTTGCCCCACCCAGTCATGAGGAAAAAGCCACTGGGGGTCCTTGCCTGCCTTTGTGCTGGTGTGGAGGGGGATGCTCACCTCCTGGGCATCAAAGTAAATATTTTATTGCAAGGTTTATGTGAATGAAACCTGGAAACTAGTTCGTGCCTCCCTTTTTTAAAGATGTGGTAAAATACACAGACGTGAAATTTACCGTCTAAACCACTTTTTAAGTATAGAGTTCAGTTGTGTTAAGTATGTTCACACTGTTGTGCAATAGAGCTCTAGAATTCTTCTCATGTTGCCAAGCTAAATCTCTATACCAGTTAAGCAACCCCCCTTTTCCCCCTTTCCCCAACCCCTGGCAACCACCATTCTACTGTTTATTTTATGTCTCTATGATTTTGACTACTCTAAGTACCTCATGTAAGTAGAATCATACAGTATTTGCATTTTTGTCACTGACTTATTTCACTTAGCATAAGGTCTTCAAGGTTCATCCATATTGCAGCATATATTACAATTTCTTTCCTTTTTAAGGCTAAATAATATTCAATTTTATAGCTATAGGTGCATACACGCCAACAGTACATGGGGGTTCCAGTTTCTCCACATCCTCACCAACACTTGTTATTTTCTGGGGTTTTTTACATAGCCATCCTAATGGGTGTGAGGTGATACTTCATTATAGTTTTGATTTGCATTTCCCTAATGATTGGTGATGTTGTGCATCCTTTCATGTGCTTAGTGGCCATTTGTATACCTTCTTTGGAGAAATGTGTCTTTAAGTCCTTTACCCATTTTAAAATCTGAGTGGCTTTTTCTTTTTTTCTTTCTTTTTTTTCTTTTTTTGGTTATTGGGTTATAGGAGCTCTTTATATATTTTGGATATTAACCCCTTATCAGATGTGATTTGCAAATATTTCCTTCCATTCTATGAGTTGTCTTTTTACTCTGCTCATTGTACCTTTTGATATACAGAAGTTTTAAATTTGATATAGTCCAGTTTATCTATTTTTTCTTTTATTGCCCGTGATGATGGCCTGTTTTTGTTGTTGTTGTTGTTGTTGTTGTTGTTTTTGAGTGGGGGATCTGTCACCCAAGCTGAACTCCTGGCCTCAAGCAATCCTCCCACCTCAGCCTCCTAAGTTGCTGGGATTACAGGAGTGAGCCACCATACCCAACTCTGGTCTGTTTTTATAAATAAAATTTTGTTGAAATTGGGGTAAGGAGAATGAGGTACTGTCATGCAACTACAGTGCTAGATCCTTCCTTTATTTAAAATTTTGATAATTTGTTCATCATAGTTTTTTTGTTGTTTGTTTGGTTGTTTTTTTTTCTGTTTTTGTTTTGTTTTGTTTTGTTTTGAGACAGTCTCTCTCTGTGGCCCAGGTTGGAGTGCAGCGGTGCCATTTCAGCTCTCTGCAGCCTTCGCTTCCTGGGTTCAAGTCATCCTCCCGTGTCAGCCTCCTGAGTAGCTGGGACTGCAGGCACAGGCCACCACACCTGGCTAATTTTTGTATTTTTTTGTGTAGAGATAAAGTTTCACCATGTTGCCCAGGCTGGTCTCAAACTTCTGGGCCCAAGCAGTCTGCCCACCTCGGCCTCCCAAACTGCTGGGATTACAGGCCTGAGCCACCGCGCCTGGCCCTCATCACAGATTTTTGCATTAATTGTTATTTGTTAAAATAGTGCATTAGGGCCAGGCACGGTGGCTCAGGCCTGTAATCCCAGCACTTTTGGGAGGCCGAGGTGGGAAGATTGCTTGAATCCAGGAGTTCAAGAACAGCCTGGGCAACATGGTGAAACCCCGTCTCTAAATAAAACTTTAAAAATTAGCCGGGTGGGTGTGGTGATGCGTGCCTGTACTCCCAGATACTTGGAAGACTGAGGCAGGAGGATCGTTCGAGCCCAGGACATGGAGGCTGTAGTGAACAGTGATCCTGCCACTGCACTCCAGCCTAGATGACAGTGAGACCCTGTCTCAAATAATAATAATAATAATAATAATAATAATAATAATGCATTAAAATTATTCATCTTGGCGGGGTGCCGTGGTTCATGCCCCAAATCCCAGCACTTTGGGAGGCTGAGACAGGCAGATCACCTGAGGTCACGAGTTCGAGACCAGCCTGGTCAACATGACAAAGCCCCATCTCTACTAAAAATACAAAAATCAACTGGGCATGGTGGTATGTGCCTGTAATCGCAGCTACT